ACTCGGACTAAACAATTTATTCGAGTTTTTAGTCAAAAACGTGATTTTTTTTCCGTGGTTCTACCTGGGACTAAACAAATGGACTAAACAATTCATGGGAACAACACTGGACTTAAAGGACTCAACAAAGATTTAACAAAAGTGAACACTTGGTGGGCTACCAATAATCTATCAGCATGGTGGATTAAAAGGACTCAAACAAAGAATTAAAAGAAGTGATTACTTTTATGAGATAACAAGATTGTAGACAGATACAATACTTCAAGAGACGACAACATTGCGAATGACTCGTACTACTTAGTTCAATCGTATGTACCGTGTTCGCTGCACCATATATATCAATCGTTACGATTCGTTTGCATCTCACTCTCACTTATGCATTCAGTCGCATCGTTTGTGCACCTCTTTCGTTTCAGCTGATCGATCGTTATGGAACTCAGTTTGCGACTAGATACTATGTTCAGTTCGATCGTTTGCACGTGTGCTCCTCGTCATTCGGACTCGTTTGGGATGGTTCGTTGCATCCCCGCTCCTCTATTGGCACTGATACGATGGCCTAATAGTGAGGCTAGGAACTCCCATGGAGGCACCTCTGTGGTAATCCTGTTTGAATTTGTAATCCTGTTGGAATTTTTTATCCAACTCGGTGGCATACAGTCTTACCGGTATTGTTTCCTGTTGGATTTGCTGTTCTTTTAAAAGAGTTCTTAATACAAGCTTTAGTCCTTAGCTCGCTTCATCCGTACTACCAGGCCTCCCGGTTATGTCGCGAGTGATTTAGTCATCTGCTGGTAGACACCACCATTACTAAAGGATAATGACTAAATCTTGAACTAAACAACCACCTAAAGGATTCCTTTAGTCGGTCCCTTAGTCGCTCTGGTAGAGACCGGCCTTTAGAAGACTAGCCGGCCACTTCTGATAGTACCGTACAAAAAGCTCATATCCAGCCAACAACCGCCAGCCATTAGCTTAGATGCGGGCGAGCAACATCTAGCTAGTCTAGCCAGCTACGATCCTTTCTCTCATACCGTTTATTTGGTTCTTCTTCTTGGGAGGAAGGGAGCAGTTCGTGTGCAGAGGTTCCATTCTCATTCGTCAGGCACTTGTGAGAGTCATGCCATTTTAGCAAAAAGTGACTGAAACTAGCTAGACAAGCAAGTTTGCACACAAACTGCGAAGGCTTTTTTAAAAAAACACACCTGCTAGCTAGAGTGTCCACTTTCCAACGCGAGAAACCAGGGCTCTCAATCTTTGAGAGCCAAAAGCATAACGTTTCTATTTAGTCTCTGTTGTCTCTCAAATTGACCGTACCGGTGGGTTTACGCATAGCTCCTTGCACCTGGCACCACTGCAGTGATACCCCCAACGATCGAAGAGGCATGTCAGGCACTCAGCTCCATTATTACACCCATACACCACCCCAATTTTTAACAAACAATAATGCTCTTCTTCCTGCACTGTTATCCAACGAGGAGAAGTGCAATGCTATCTCTCTACACACTTGTACTTCTGGTCCTCCGCTCCACTGCTGCCTTTGGAGGAGAAAAGGCCTTCTTTACCACAGAGCTGGGTACTCCCAATGTGACACATCGTCAATATGTCTGCGATCGATTTGAGGACTTTTACTTCAAACGAGTGCAGTTACGACATGCTCTGGAAGGCCTACAACTGCATGTAGGAATTGGTGACTACCCAGGAGCGTACTTCAATTATGATCCAGAGAAAGGCATCGACGAAACTGAGCCTGGCTTGTTTTCTGAAATTCTGGATGAAATGGCGAAGCGAGGAGGCTTCACATGGCGAAACAGCTTTGGCATTTACAAAGACCCGGCTGAACATAACATGAATTGGAATCAAACACTTTACTGGACAATTAATGTCTACGATGTTGTTGCTGGTAAGTCTAGCAGTATGCAAGTTGGGTATGTTGCGCCATTTGTCACATGAGCCCTAACATTTGCTGTCGCCATTTTCCTGAACAGAATGTGTGGACAAACACTCTCGAACGGAATCATCGAGGTGTTGTGTTTCTCGAGGAAATTGTTGATGCCAGCCTTGTTGTCGCAACGAGCAATGCTGTGCAAAAGCAAAGTAGCAGTGTAATCACCGTCTCATCATTCTTCAATTGGCTCAAGCCCTATGACGCTACTGTCTGGATGGTGACCATTTTGACGATTTTGCTAAGTGGTGTTGTTTATCAGATTTTGGAGTGGTATGCTGATGAACGGGACAATAGATCGGCATGGGAATGGTGGCTAGACAATACCTATATGAGTTTTATCAATGCCACACAAGCCTATGAATATCAGCCCAAGACATTGGCAAGCCGACTCTTTGGCATCAGCATGGCCATCTGGGCACTGGTGATGACAGCCACATACACAGCAAATCTAGCATCTCTGCTTGTGGATAGGCGCATTCAAGGGCCTCAATCGATGGAAGAGATTTCGGTATTTGGCAACAAGATTTGTACGTGGGTTGGTACATTTTCTGATGAATTTGTTCGCGACACATACAGGACTGCAGTCCGTGTCCCAAAGAACTCCGAACTAGAATTGTATGAAGGTTTGACCAATGGTGACTGTGAATTTATTCTGACAAGTCTTTCTAGTTGGAGCAAGAACAAAGGCATCAAAGAATACAATCCACACTGCGATTTGTACTTGGTAGGTGAGGGGGTCAACAAAGTTATCAACCTCGCAGCTGGATTTGTCACTACTGTGGACTCAGGAAATACATGTACTGGATTTATACGTGATGTCCTCAACGTTCTCCTGCGAGACATTATTGAGGATGGGTTCCTGGAGCGTGAGTTTGAGAGGACCAAAACCATTGATTGCCTCACCTACAAACCAGGATTTGAAAAGACCCAAGATGATGACGGCAACGACCAAATAGATGTCCGCACAAGAAAACTGCAGCCTCGTCACCACAATGCCCAATCAGCTGCTTGTACTGGTAGCACCCATTATCGAAATCGAGCACTCAAGGCTGGTGGAAAGGCTGCTGCTGGTGGAGCTGTTGCATCAATGGGTGATTCTCCTGATGAAGATGCACAAAAGCTTACTCTCCAGCAAATGATTGGAACTTTTGGCTGTCACTGGGGCATGATGCTCATTGCTATAATCGTTGCCCATGTCAGGATGGTGTATGACAAGCATGGGAAGAAGAGGGCAAAGAGAGCAACTAAGGCACTTGTCCAAAGCTTTAGAAAGCAATGCAGCGGTGTAGAGGGCAGCGAAAAAGAAGAAGAAATGCGTCGGCCTTCGCCTTCGCTTTCAATGACTATGATGGTACCCAATACAGACAACAACTTCAATGACCTGTACCCACCCAAAATAGACAGCAACAACCACAACCGTGCTAGACTGGAGGAGAAGGAACGGCATGATGAAGATATGAGGAGTGAAATGGCTGCCATGCGATCAGAACTGAGAGAGCTCAAGAATCAGATCAAAGAGCTTGTGGAAATGTCGATAGCACCCGATGTACATTGGAGGACAACAGCAGGAGATGCCAATTACAATCTTCAGGATAACCCTCGTGCAAATGTTAGCATTTCCTCCTTAATGGGTGGCTCCTACCAAGGCCTAACGCCAACTGCTGAAATGAAATGACCAACCAATAGCCACTACTTGATGAACTTGCCAAAATCAACATATTTGTTCACAACAACTTTGGACTTGGACAAATCGAATGGAGGCTGGACTGTGATGTATATAGCTATGCGTTTTTAAAAAGAGTACTCGATTAGTTCAATTCAATGCATGAAGAGCATCTAAAGCTCTCGAGTAAAACCTTGCAAACGACGATGTGCCGACAAGACTCAATGCTTTACAAATTCAGCTCTCTGCTGCCCTCGTTATGGCTACTCATCTCTACATCTACATTTCGTACATGTCGTTGCTCACGCATCGCTCGTGCATCAGGTCGGTCCTGTGTTTAGAGTCCGAGTTGCTTATTCGATTCGATTCATCATTCCCTTTCAAATAAGCTTGGCCTACTAATGCAAGCATTTGTGCACTCTAGTGAACAATCCACTATTTGGTTTGGTCCTCGAACATCGGGCTTGGACCTGTGGTACGTGACAAAGCCAGCAATGACGCGATCACGGCACCTTGTTTGCCGAACACGGTCTGTACAGTCGTACTCATCCCTAACTCTAACAAAAGATCTTGTTTCGTTGGGTGTTGAAAAGGTGTGAACTTGAACGCACAATTTCTCTAATTTAATCAATATCCTTCCAGCTCTACTGTCTAGTAGACTGGCTATTCGTTTCGTTTTCTCTTTCTCTCTCGTTCAGATTGTGAGCTCTACAACTGAGCTCCGATATGCATACATATACCAGGATCTTTCGATCCTCTGTTTCTCGCAGTTTCATCTGCAGATAGATCTCGTCGATCTATCTTCCTGAAGTGCATGGTTGGCCCTGGAGGGCTTTCCCACTTTACTAAACCTATGGACCTTCATCCGTCCATTCATTTGTTCCGTCCCATCGCTCCTTGCATTCATCTCTTCGACCTAACTTCCTAACCTTTGTAGTTGCATCATCTAGACGACCATTGTCCTCGTTCCTCGTACACCTGGCCATCTGATGATGATCGGATAACCATCTGATTTGAGTCACACATCCCCAATCACGAACCGTGACTGTGGATCCCGAGTCGTCTGTCCGTCATACGAAAATACCTTTCTAACACCCTTCCTGTTTTTCGCGATGATGGCAGCGACCTTCTTACCAACTCAAACCAATTGCTCCTTGTCTCCTGTCAGTTTCGGTGCATGTCTGTCGAGGGTCTCGACGTTGACATTCTTGGTTCCAATGTCGCTCACGTTGTCTT